CTTGGGAGTCTTCTGCTGGGGGTTCCTTCACAGTTCGTGCTGACCATGGTAAGTGCCATGAATTTCATGTCAAAAGGTAAAATGAGTTAGAATTTTTGGGGATACCACTATAGTAGAAATTTCAAGCATTCTGTTGTAAAGCAGTTTCTCTTGTTAACAGTTAAATGTTTAGTCTTACCTGCTTAGGTTCTTCTGTAACTGACTTTTTTTACATATACACACTCCCAGGTGAGCCTATTGGTCGCGGTACCAAAGTGATTCTGCATCTGAAAGAAGACCAGACAGAGTACTTAGAGGAGAGGAGAGTTAAAGAAGTAGTGAAGAAGCACTCACAGTTCATAGGCTACCCCATCACCCTTTATGTGAGTATGGGCTAGGACCCTTTTCCTCTGCTCTCAGATGTGGGACTCTTACTTTTCTAGAGAACTACTTAGGGAATGCAGAAGCTGGGGGCCATAGTGTTCTACATTGCAAATGTGGTTTTTTTGTTGCTTTCAGTTGGAGAAGGAACGAGAGAAGGAAATCAGTGATGATGAGGCAGAGGAAGAGAAAGGTGAGAAAGAGGAAGAAGAAAAGGATGATGAGGAGAAGCCCAAGATTGAAGATGTGGGGTCAGATGAGGAGGATGATAGTGGTAAGGACAAGAAAAAGAAAACCAAGAAGATTAAGGAGAAGTACATTGATAGAGAAGAATTGAACAAGACCAAGCCTATTTGGACCAGAAATCCTGATGATATCACCCAGGAGGAATATGGAGAATTTTACAAGAGCCTTACTAATGACTGGGAAGACCACTTGGCAGTCAAGGTGAGAAGCCTTACATGTTGGCTTGGTAGGAGGAGAGAGGAGGTAGAAAAGTAAGGTTAACATTAGATGTTACTTGCCTGACTATTTGCATGGGACCTTACGGAGCCACATGAAGAGTCCTTATAGAGAACTTCCAGGGTGGACCTCTACAGTGGCCTCTTGACATGAGTGACTGTTTTCCATTCACCTAAGGATTGTGCATAGCTAATTTTCTCAAAAGTTTCTTTACAGTGTTAACCTACTTTTCTCTGGTGCTTAGGGAAGATAATTGTTCCAAACAGTCTTGGGTCTTTTGGTGCTGGAATTAAAAGCTGTTTTACCCTGAAGTAAATTACTGCCTTATCTTTGCTTTGTTTCTTTCAGCACTTCTCTGTAGAAGGTCAGCTGGAATTCCGGGCATTGCTGTTCATCCCCCGCCGGGCTCCCTTTGATCTCTTTGAGAACAAGAAGAAAAAGAACAATATTAAACTCTATGTCCGCCGTGTGTTCATCATGGACAGCTGTGATGAGTTGATACCAGAGTATCTCAGTGAGTAACCTCATGGCCTAATATATTTCATCAGATAAAGTATTATGTTGTTTTTGGCTTTTTTTCTTCTTGTGATTTGGGTGAAAGTTCACAGTAAATGCACTTTTCATACAGCAGCTCACATACACTTTATCTCATGGCATAGACTACAATTTATCAAAATGTAACAGCTCCTCCCTACATTCTCCCCATGTCCTTCCCTCCATGCAGTCCTGCCCCCTGAGCTGTCTTTCTGTGCATACACAGCCCTTGTATTTCCCCTGATTGTTCTCTCCAAGAAGTGTATCTACCTAATGTAAATGTCCAGCTCATAAGCCTTTCTTTTCTTTGGCTTGAAGCTATAGGAGTGGGTTCAAGTCCAGATCTGAAGGGCATCTAGGGGCCATCAGACCAGCAAAACCAGTCAGTTTTTTTTTTTTAATGATTTTGAGTTTTGTTCCACGGTGTTCTCCCACTCTGTCCAGGATCCCCTACAGAGATCCTCCTCCAAGTAGTTGACAGTAGTACAGTAGCCGGGCACCATCTTCTGGTCTCATGGTTGTATAGGCTTAGGATCACATGGTTTACTAGTTGCCTGGACTAATTGTTCCATGAATCTTTTTCATCATTTTTCTTTGCTCTGGTTGAGGAGAGACCCATCATTACATCTAGATGGCCACTTGTAAAGTTTTAAAGATCCCAGTCGCTACTTGGTCTTTGGCATTCTTAAGGCACTCTGGTGGTACAGTGGTTCAGACATTTGGCTGCTAACCAAAAGGTAGGCGATTCAAACCTACCAGCCACGCCACCAAGAAAAAATGGGGTGGTCTAGTTCCCATAAGGAGTTACAGCTTTGGAAACCCAGTATAGGGGTCAGAATTGACTTGCTAGCGGTGAGTTTGGGTGTGTTTTTTTTTTTTTTAAACATTCTTAATAGGATTAAACTTTTTATCCTTCATAATTTGTAGTTCTCTTTAGCATAACACGTCAAAGTTGAGTAAGCATGTGGAGCCTTTTTATTTGGATCTGAATGTGACCAAATCCTTCTTTCACTGAGTTTTCACTTGGGCTTATTCATTACAGACTTCATCCGTGGTGTTGTTGATTCTGAGGACTTGCCCCTTAACATCTCCCGAGAAATGCTCCAACAGAGCAAAATCTTGAAGGTCATCCGTAAAAATATAGTCAAGAAGTGCCTTGAGCTCTTTACTGAGTTGGCAGAAGACAAGGAAAACTATAAGAAATTCTATGAGGCATTCTCTAAAAACCTGAAGGTAAGGATGTAAATGGTTAAGTCATTTGGCCCACTTTAATAATGGCTTTTCCCATCCACATAAATTATGGGGAATACGTTTTAAGTGTTTGTCTTTTCCTACTTTTAAAGCTTGGCATCCATGAGGACTCTACTAACCGGCGGCGTCTTTCTGAGCTGCTGCGCTATCATACCTCCCAGTCTGGAGATGAGATGACATCTCTTTCGGAATATGTCTCTCGCATGAAGGAGACCCAGAAGTCCATCTACTATATCACTGGTGCGTTGGAGCCTGTGTTGGTCTCGCCTCCTTGGAGGCAAGGGGAAGCGGGCAAGAATATAGGGCTTACCCTGGGAGCTGACAGTAAGAGACATTTTGCTCACATATAATAACTCTACAGGTGAAAGCAAAGAGCAGGTAGCCAACTCGGCTTTTGTGGAACGAGTACGGAAGCGGGGTTTTGAGGTTGTGTATATGACGGAGCCTATCGACGAGTACTGTGTGCAACAGCTCAAGGAGTTTGATGGGAAGAGCCTGGTCTCAGTTACCAAGGAGGGCCTAGAGCTACCTGAAGATGAAGAAGAGAAGAAGAAAATGGAAGAAAGCAAAGCCAAGTTTGAGAACCTCTGCAAGCTCATGAAGGAAATCCTGGATAAGAAAGTTGAAAAGGTAAGCGATTATGGCATTAGGGTATGTAATATATATTTGTGGGGTTACTTTTCTCCCAAGACTTCTGTGTGGTTACTCAATTAGTGAATAGTCTTACTTTTTTATTTAGCATATTCTTAGCTCTTGCTCTCCTATTCAGTCAGGTGAAATGTTACAGAAATTTATTTCAAAGCTGAAAGTAAAGATGAGGCACCGATTCAGTTTCTTTGGAGAAATGAAATGCTTAGGTTTAAGGTAGTGATTGGGTTGATGACAAGGCTAAGGTTTTTGTGACCATGTCCACAGGTGACAATCTCCAATAGACTTGTATCTTCACCCTGCTGCATCGTGACTAGCACATATGGCTGGACAGCCAACATGGAGCGCATCATGAAAGCCCAGGCACTTCGGGACAACTCTACAATGGGTTATATGATGGCCAAAAAGCACCTGGAGATAAATCCTGATCACCCTATTGTGGAGACACTGAGGCAGAAGGCTGAGGCGGATAAGAATGACAAAGCCGTCAAGGATTTGGTGGTGTTGCTGTTTGAAACTGCTTTGCTCTCTTCTGGCTTCTCCCTTGAGGATCCCCAAACCCATTCGAACCGCATCTACCGCATGATCAAGCTAGGCTTAGGTGAGTAGCCTTGTTACCTAGTGTGACAAGTTGTTGGAGCTGGCTTCCTTGATGGACTTTTTTTTAAATCCAAATCTTCATCTAGTATTTTTTACATTATAGGCATTGATGAAGATGAAGTGACAGCTGAGGAACCTAGTGCTACTGTTCCTGATGAGATCCCTCCACTCGAGGGTGACGAGGATGCATCTCGCATGGAAGAAGTCGATTAGGATACTCTACCTGCAAACTTTGTGCCCTCTGTATAGTGTCCCTGTCCACAGCAGCCTTGAGTGGCCCTGTCCCACCTGGCTTCATCTGCTGATAGTGTTTTTTTTTCCCCCCCTCTCCTGTTATTTGTGTAAGGCAGGATATAAAGCCCCATTCCCTCCCTTATTTGATTGAGAATGGGGTAGGGTATTGTGAGTTTTTTTTGTTGTTGTTGCTGTTTATTTTGTTCTGAAATTAAAGTATGCAAAATAAAGACGTTTTATACAGTTTTGCTCTCCCTTGTGAATGATACTGTATTTCACATTTCCTTAAATGTTCCCAAATCTAAGTTGTGGTTACTGTCATCCCAGATACATGACAAGTTAAGCTGGATTGCTTTTTACGCATGTGACAACATCAAAACCTCAAGAAGACCTAAAAAGAGCAGGAAAGGTTCTGCATTTAGTTGAACAAACTGGAAACGGCTGTTTAGAAATCACACACTTGATTAAGGGACAGTTTGATATCCTTTCAATTCCCTTCCCAAAGTGCATAGATTTACACCAAAACACAAGAGCAAGCCCCTCACAGCAATTTAATAAAATAAAATTACTCAAATTATAAGCAAAAAGTTACATTTTCAAAGTACCAAAACCTGCAAATGACTCCTGGAGCAGAGTCGGGGGGTGGGTGGAGGTACTGGGCAGGGTTAACTTGCCTCTCCCTCAGCAGCACCTTTCCCTCTTCCCTTTTGGGAAAGCAGCATTGGCACCCACTTGTGCTTTTCTCACGAAAGCAAGAAATGCGTTTCTGGTGGGAGTCTGAAAGAGCAGGTGTTCAAGGTAGAGGACAAGCCCAGGTGAGGTACTGACAGTCAACATGTAGAGATTTGGAAGGTACTTGGGTACCTCTGCTTTCTTGGCCTCTCCCATCCACAGATAGTCATCTGGTCACCTCTATCCCAGGGCTGAGGAGAAACTTGCCTGCCAGAGGATGGATGACTTAAGGCAAAGGAGAAGGCTGCTTCCTGGGCTTTTCACCCCCAGCTGCACAAAGCTGGATGTGGTAACTAGAAAAAACAGGCATTTTGCCCTTGAGCCAGCCACCTCTGAGAAGTTACATAGGAGTGGAAAACCCATGTGGGTCCTATTTCACGTCACCCTTCTGATCCCTCCACCCCATCAAACCTTTTGCACAGGGGACTCAATGGGCACAGCCTTCTTTCCGCGTTGCTTTAGGCGACCCCGGGCATAGACTCGAAGAAGGAGGGCAGCAAAGACCACTGCCACACCCAACCCTCCCACAACAGTGACAGTGTGGCCATAGAGGAGGCAGGAGAGGAGGATGGCAAAAGCCTGGCGGAGGGTCATGATAATGGTGAAGACAGCAGCCCCAAACTGCCCGATGGTGTAGAAGATGAAGAGCTGGCCACAGGCTGAGCAGACTGAGAGCAGCAGGGCATGGGCTGCAAACTCACTGTGTCGTCCCATGAAGCGGGTCCCCTCCAGGAGGGCTCCCTGCTCCAGCAGTGAGCCCACTGTGAAGAGGCAAGAGAAGAAGTTGACCCCAAACATCATCTGCACTGATGACATTTTGTAAGCAAACAGGGCATCCTGCCAGTTTGAGGTGAAGCTGTCAAAAGCAACGTAGCCTGCTAGTAGGATAAGGCCTGACAGTGTGGTGGCTGGGGAGCTACGGGGCTCTGGTCCACTGGACAGCAGGAACATGCTAACTCCAATGGAGATGAGGCCAGCTGTCAGGTATTCCCAGTGTTCGTAGCTGCGCCGAGACACCAGCTTTCCCATCAGCATGACAGGGATCACCTTGGAGGCTTTGGCCAGTACCTGAGTGGGGAAGCTGACAAACTTGAGAGCTTCATACTGGCACCAGCTGCTAAGCACATTTGACAGGCTGGCAAAGGAGTACCGGTACATTGGTGCCCCGTGTCGAGGTTGCTTGCAGAGTACACAGTAGAGGCCGGCCACCATCAATGCCAACACACGGTTCATCAGCACCAGGAACTGCGAGTCCGTGAAGCGCTCACCTGGTGTCGTGGCTGTGGCCCCATAGCTGCGGGTCATCACTCTTTCTTGCAGCACACCCCAGGTCAGATAGGACACCTGGCAGGGGCAAGGGAGAAACAAAGGAAGCCAACAAAGGAAGAAGTAGGCAAAAATAGATCTCAACTTCTTCCTCAGGATGATGCCTAAACGATTTTAAAGGACAGCACATTTTGGTTCCTCTGCAGTAACTGAAGTTTTCCTCTTTCCTCACAAGTCTGGACTGTGTAAACCAGGATTCATCCTATAGGGAATCAAATGTTACAAATGCTTTTAACACTACCCAGACCTTCTCTGTCCTTACAGTGTATGTATGTTGAAACCAACTTCATCCAAAGCATTTTCCTATTCTTAACCAGTTCAGGGAGGTAAGACTTCTCAAAGAGGGTTCAATAGCTCTTAGTTCACCATGATTTGCAAGGTGGGACTACTACTCACTCCAAAACGCCATGCAGTTGGCATCCTAGCACCTCTCTCACATGCAGTACTAGGGAATGGCTGGGTGCCCCTCTCAAAGTTTTATCAGTGGGGTTACAATAAGACACATTGATGGAGAAGTGTAATAATGCCACAGTAGAAATCACAGAAAAGAGGGGAAGGTCCCTCTTACTTTTAATTCAGTGCTGGAGAGAGGAAGGAGGAGGAAAGAAAAGACAGGTTTCCTCTAAACACCTCCAAAAAGATGGTGGTGCAGTGTGTCCCAGAGAGGAGAAAGGGGATACACAACACATCAACCAGCAAACCTGGAACAACAGGATTGGCATGGTCAAAACTTTGGGCCCAGCCCAGAAAGAAAAACAGCCTGCCTGTCTACCTGCTCTGGTAGCATAGTGCCTAAGGCACTTCACAACCAGAAGTCTGGCAGTTCAAACCCACCAGCCACTCCTCAGAAGGAAGGTTGGGCAATCTACTTCTGTAGTGATACCGCCTCAGAAACCCAAGGGGTCACTATGAGTGGGGTCCAACTCGATGCCACATCACTACCACCACCACCTACCTGGAGGCCTGCAGCACAGAAAAACAGCTTCAGAGCCTGCCAAGTGGGGGTGGTCTCTGAGGACTCTGTCCGTGCAGCCAGGGGGGGCTCATCGGAGGCCTTGGGCTCATTGCCAAACACACAGGCTTTCACCAGGGGGAAGCAGAGGCCTCTACCTGAAGAAGGCACAAAAAGTCATGTCCCAGTCTTTCCCACAGCACCTAATCCTTCTCAGAGCTGCTACCCTGCCCTGCTGTACTACCTGCTGGCCTCCCTGGCCTAGCCCATCCCTTCCTTTCTCCTCCTCCCCAGCCATATCCGTCTGGACTGCTGGCCAGCGCCCGAATTCCGGACCCAGCACACTTCCCCACCCTTTCCCCACACACCTGTCTCCAGGTAGTTCTTCCGTCTAAAGTACTGCACCAGGAGGTAGCCAGGCACCATAAAGCTGGCATAACCAGCAGCATTCACCAAAAAGCGGAAGAACCATAGCTGGGTCCACGACTCCGATGGGGCTTCAGGAGCCTCCCCGCCTGCCCCTAGGGAGGGGAGCGTGGCCAGAACCACCACTACCCACCACCTGTAGAGGCAGCGGACACGATGTTTAGGGTGCAGTTCCTCTTCCACTTGGCCCTCCAGAGGGGGGTCACACTGGAGAAGGGCCCGGAGTCTCCTCCCTGCCTCCTTCCACCGCAGCCCAGCCGCACAAAGAGCTTCTCTCTCTCTCTGGGGCCAGGGCCCCCTCCCCCGCCCCAAGGGCGGACCCGCCCCTCGGGCCACACAGGTCTCCTCTGTTCAGGCTGTGCTGCTCAGTCCGCCGGCGGCGCACTCTCCTCCCACCCCCACCCCCACCCCCCGCACGTTCCCGGAGTGCCAGCGTTCCCTTCAGCCCGACACTCCTGAAGTCCCGCAAGGAGCACATGACCATGCCTGGCCTCCAACCTCGTCAGCTCGGGAAAGCGTTATGTGGACCCTCCGCCCAGCAGTAGAGACCCCACCCGGCCCCTCGCTCACGGGGGCTCGGTCACGTAGGCATCATCGCTCTCCTAGCCCCCCACCTGGTGTCCATGGTTCGGCCGTGTGGGGCAGAGGTGGACCGGGGAATACAGTCCCCGGGCCGCACACTCCCTCCACCGCCTAACCCGAGCAGCCTGTGAGCGAGCCGCTAGCGGAAGTGCCGCGCTCTTCCCGCCTCCCTACCCGCTGCCGCCCCTCCGCCCCCTGCCGCGACCACGCAGCGCCCCCGGCCACCGCCGGGCCACAGCGCCCCCGCGCGGCCCGGAGGGAAACACGGCTTGGTTCTAGGGAGCTGGGCTTTTCCTAGGAGTGGAAAGCGGGGAGCCCCTGCACCTGAAGGGCATTAGCCCGATGTCTCCCCTCTGGTTCGTGATTGTCGTTAGCCCTCACAATCATCCCAAGATAGACGTGACCATTGTCATTTTATGGACGGGGGCATTGCGATTCTACGTTCTAAGCACCTCCCTTTGTGTTCTTTTTCTAGCTTTCTGGCAGGATGAAAATGCCCGCTTCTCTGTCTGGGTCAGCAATTCTGTCCGCCACTCCCCATGACCTTCAAGGCTTTGCATGACTTGGCCCTGTCCTCGTCGCCCACTCACCTACCCCTTGTAGAGCCCCACTGGCCTGCTCTCAGTTCCTCTAATTCACCAGAGGCCATCTCCTTAATGCTGTCTCCCTCATCCCTTAACTCATCTTTATGTCAGAGTTGAAATGAGGAGTTCCCTGACCATGCAAAGTACAGCTCTCCACCCATTTCATTATTTTCATTCCCACTGTTTCTTCCCTTCACAGCACTTATCACATAATTACTTGGAAGTTTCTGATTTTAATGACTGTCTCACTCACTAGACTTTTAAGCTCCTAAGGGACACACACCTTGTTGGTTTATTCCTCCACGTTCTTCATCCAAGCATAGGCCTGACCTAGCAGGATCCTCAAACAGGTATGGAAGAAGGGAAAAAATTTTTAAAAGCCACAGCGCCCTTGTTGCCCAAGGTTTCCTAACTAGCCTATCTCTCCAGGCTCCTCCAGATGGTAGCCACCAGGACAGTAGTGAGGCTTACAGAGCCTGTGTCTTCCCATCCCTCCTTCTTTCCCTCTATCCACCTGTATTTCCATAAAAAGGACAGGTATTTTGAGACGGAAGAAAGAATGACCTGAGGACTATTACTCATTCTATCCCACCCCCACCCCATGAAGCCCTACCCTGCCCAGGGGACAATTTCTCTACCTCTGCCTCTACCACAAAGTCATGTTGTTGTTGTTGTTGTTATGTGCCATCAAGTCAGATGCAGACTCATAGCGACCCCTTCCTTGGGTTTGGAGGCAGTATCACTACGGAAGTAGATAAGTAGATTGCCCCATCTTCCTTCCGAGGAGTGGCTGGTGGGTTTGAACCGCCAGCTTCTGGTTAGCAGTCAAGTGCCTTAGGCACTATGCTACCAGAGCTCCTCCACAAGTCATTGTTGTTGTTGTTGTTGTTATGTGCCATGAGTCCACCCCGACTCATAGCGACCCCTCCTTGGGTTGACTCATAGCGACCCCTCCTTGGGTTTCCGAGGCTATCACTACGGAAGTAGATAAGTAGATTGCCCAACCTTCTGGTGGGTTTGAACCGCCAGCTATCTGGTTAGCAGTCAAGTGCCTCAGGCACTATGCTACCACAAGTCATAGGACAGGCCTATTTAAAAATCCCTAACACACACCCCCCCACCCCCCCCCCCCCCACACACATAGAGCAATATGCATGCACGTAAAACAACTCAAGAGGGGAAAAGCTTTTTAAAAGTCTCTGCCATTTTAGTGTCATGTTACTGAAACTTTCCCTCCCCCCTCAAAAGCTCATTTTACGCAGGGCCTTCTGCATGAACTCTTTACACAGCAGTCTTTTATAGTTCTCACCAGCAGTAGGACAGGAACCCCTCTGGGTCCTGCTTGCTCATCTATCAGCCTCTCCTCACTCCGGAGAGTCTATGTTTTCCACACTGGTTGGCAGTTTCAGGCTGACCCAACGTGGGTAGAAACAGGAGCCTCTGACATCTTCAAGAGGGGCAAACTGGCTTCACCCAGGATATCTGAGGCTGGCAGCAGAGGGGCTGTGTTCTGAGAATCTCCAATCACTGGGGAGGCTCTTCTTTCCAGACTGGCTCTCTCTACCTTTCAATCCCTCCTCTTAGCTCAGGAGTGTGCTGGCCACAGACTGCGGACAAAGGCTTGGTCCCAGCAGTCCCCAGGGCCACCAGAATGGCATAATGCCTGGGCCCAATTGCAGTAGCTGCGGCTCCAGCTTCTAGATGGGAAGAGGAGTCGTGCCAGGGCCCCAGACCCTGCCCGGCTTCAGTCAGCACACAGCAGTGGCTTCCCTGAGATCTTCAGGTCATCGAAGGGCAAAAGAGCAAAGGGCTGAGAAAGAATGGAGAGAAGCAGGATCAGGGGTCATGAAAACAAAGGCAGAGGTCAGAGAGGGGAGCTGGGGAAAGCTGTTGGGCCACACCCTCTCCACCTAATGACAGTTAAAGGACATCAGGGAACAAGGTTTCATACTCCCAAAGATAGTGGCCCCTCTGGGCTAGACAGAACCCTCAGGTCTAAGACAAGCCCTTATTCTCTAAGATAATGCCAGAATATTGATACTAGGAGTGACCTTAGGGAAGGTCTAGCCCACATCTGGTATTTTGTTCAGTGGGAGAAAACCAAACCTAACTCGTTGCTGTGAAGTCAGATCTGACCCATAGTGACCCCTCCTTGGGTTTCTACAGAAGTAGATCGCCCAATCTTCCTTCTGAGGAGTGGCTGGTGGGTTTGAACCACCAGCCTTCTGGTTAGCAGTCAAGTGCCTTAGGCACTAGGAGAGGGTGCACACAAAATGTTTTTCATATTGAGCACTTAAAAATGGGACAGATTGCACAGAAAATTTGGGTTCTCTTAAAAAACTGAAAGACCTGGTAACACACAGAATATTCCTACTCTATACCCATCTGTTGACACTGAGTACAAGGGCCCTGGGGCACATGGACTCTGTTTCCCACAGGTCCCACCACTCTCTGTTGTCTTAGGCCTGCTTTACTGATTCATTTTAGCAGCAAGGCCCTTGTAGGAGTCCCAGTTTGCACACTGCCCCCCAACCAAGGAAACAGGCTCAGAGAGGCACAGAGGCTTGCCTGAGCTTCCACAGTAGGTTAGTGGCCGAGTCCTGGATCTAATTCAGGGATTCCTAACTTCCAGTCTGGCCCTCAGCTGATTCCAGTGCCTGTCCCTGCTCTGGAAGAGGGAGGTGCTGGAGAGCAGAGTAGAGTGTGTATCCCCTTACATCCTCAGCCAGGTCTTGGGGTGTCTCATCCTCCACATTCCGAAGTAGGGAGTCCGCTCCTGCCTCACACAAGGTGTACGAGATGCTGCTGAGGCCCCGGCCAGCTGCGAGGTGCAGGGGGGTGCATCCATTGAGCATGCGGGCATCCACTCGGGCACCGGCCTGGAGCAGAAACTGCACCAGGCTCCGTTCTTGGGTTTCCACAGCCAGGTGCAGTGCAGTCTTCCCACTGGTGCCCTCCTAGAAGGGAATATGGATGTTAGCCAAGGCCCCCAAAAAGCCATGTGCTGAGCCTGAGCTATGGATGAGGAGGTGACCATCACTTCTGTCCTCTGTCCAAGGGACCTGGGGGGAGGTGAACCCTGGGGCAGGCAGTGCCCTGACTGGCTCCCTTACCTGTACATCAATGTCAGCTCCATTCTGAAGCAGCAGTTCCATCAATGGCCGGTTCCTCTGTAGGGTGGCAATGTGGAGACATGCCAGACCTGGAAGGGGGTGAGGGCGGTAGCTGCTGATCTGCATCCACCAACTCCCTCCCTCCCTTCTCTTCAGGGACCTCCTTACCCCTCAGACCTGAGGGACCTACTGCCCACTCAATGCCTTTGATCACAGGACTATTAAAACGCAAACCCAAAAACCCCCTCAAAAGTCTGAGGGGAAAGGAACTCAAAAGTTTCCACCTTTTTAGAGTCATGTTATTGAAACTTTCACGGTTCAAGGGTCAGGTTGCTAAGAGACTCCCTCCCCACACATGCATATATACACACACTGCCTTCAAGCCCAGTCCCAAAGTCACCTTCTCTGAGAAGCTCTCTGGGATCCTTACACCCCCAGGTTCTTTCTAGCTGCCACTTCCTCCCATGTGCTCTGCTGGCCCAGATCCCACTCTGCTTAGTCGTAGAGAATCAGGTTCACATTTCTGCCCCTCATCTCCTGCAAAGTCTTTGTTTAAATGCCTCTGCTCCAGGAGGCCCTCCATAACCATCCTATTTAAAAATCACATCAAGCCTCCCACCCCCAAACTCCCACCATCCCTACTCCCCTTACTTAGCTCTACTTTTGCCATATCTCTTACTATATTTTAACACATTAAACAATTTACTTATTATGTTAATAGTCTGTCTCAATGTCTCTCTGTTTTGTTGACAGATGTAAGCCTAAATCATGTCTAGCACATAGAAGGCTCTCAGTACATTTCTGTTGAATGAATAAATTAGTTCATTTAATCTCTATATAATGGAATATCTTGAGGGCAGGTTTAACTCTCTGCTTAGCAGACAGCAGGTACTCAGTAAATTCTAAATCAAATTCCTTCCTTCCTTCTTTCATTCATTCATTCAGCAAAAGTGTACTGAGTAGCTATGTGCTTAGAGCTGGAGGTATGTCAAAGAACAAGCTGTGGCCTTCCCTTCCCTAAGAATGGGGTCCCTGTCTTCTGCCCCCTTCTTACCCCACAGGGCCCCCACACTGCCTGTACCTTGCCAGTTTTGCAGCTGGAGGTCCAGGGGGTGAGCTGGTCCTCTGCCTGGCTCCGGCCGTCCCTCCAATAGGCAGCGGGCACAGGCCAGGTGCTGGCGCTGGCAGGCCATGTGCAGGGCTGTGTCACCATGCAGGTCCTGTAGTACCCTGCTGGCCCCCTTCAACACCAAAGCCTGAACTGCACCTGGCTGGTCCAGATGTACAGCCAGGTGGAGTGCTGTCTGTGGGCACAAGTAGAGAGTCATTGGGCCACTATGGAATGCTCTTGTCTCTAGGAACATGCTAAGGTGGGCAAAGGAACTCCCATCTACCAGTACCTTGGTGGCAGTTTATAATGGCCAAGGCCCTGGTCTCCTAAGAAAACACTACCAAGCCCTTCCTCCTTCTGTCACTCCCCAAACTCTTGGGACTCCAGTTCTGGCAGCAGGGTTAGGGAAATGGCTCCCTGCTCTTCCTGCAAGTAGTCCCACTTAGCCCCTGCAGAAAAGGCACATAGGGGCAGGTCTAGCCCCTTACCCTCTGGAGAGACTTCTACAATTTCCAGGGCCAGGCTGCAGAGAAGGGCTTGTGGGGAAGAAAGACAGACAGCAAACTCCTCCTTCAAAGCCCCATTCAGGTATGACCTGTTGGACTAAGCCTTCCTTGACTGCACGATACAGACATTGAATTCCACAGCAGCTGGTATGTCTCTATCACAATTCTTGTGGCCATTTTGTATAATTAGGTATTGACATGAGTCCCCTACTCCAGGCTGTGAGCACCTCATGGGCAAAGACTGTCTTACTCATCTCTGGATCCTCAGCTTCTAGTTCAGTGTCTGGTATACGGTTTCTTGGATGAGTAGCCTGAAGAATCTTGTATGGTTGCTGGGGTTGGCTGCCAGAGTAGGTATGGGTATCTGGGCACAGTCCACCCTCTTTACCTACCTGGTACAAGTTGTTCTGAATGTCCAGCACCTCCTGAGGCAGCAAAGCCAGGCAACAGAGCAGCACAGCCGGGGCCTCGTGAATCACTGCCAGGTGCACCAGCCTGGGGTAGGGGCAGGGGAAGCGCTTGAGGTCAGGACCCAGGCTAGAGAGATCTGGCTAAGATGCTGGGGTTAGAAGGAGCACATAAATCATTAACAGCCACCCATTGGGTAGGCACAGAAAGTGAGAGTTTGGGCCAGGAAGTGAGGGTTGATGTGAGAAGCCAGAATCCTGGAGGTGGGAGCTTCAAGTTCCCATCTCTGGACTGCAGGAGGGTCTTGGCTGGGTGGGAACGTGGGCAGGGTGCTGACAGTACAAGGGCTTTCCTGTCCATAGCCTGCCCACATCCCACACCCCTCTGTCCCCAGGGCCCCACAGAGCCAGCTGCAGCTCAAAGCCAAACTGAAAGCTGCCAGAGGAGCCCAGAGGGGGTTTCCAGGGCTGTGCTCCCCACCTCCCACCCCAACAGGGAGGACAGAGGGGGTGGTGTGTGGGGTCAGTGTTACACATTCCATGGGAGAGAAAACAGCTCTTGGAAGAGGCTCGAGGAGACAGTGCAGCATCCTGTTCTACTGCCCTTCATAGGGAATCAAAAGGGGCCTCTCCTGACAGCACAGACCATATGGTCCTGAGCCAAGGCCCTCAACTCCTGTGTGCACCTCCGAAGGGAGGTCTGTGCAGTAAAGAAACTGTGTTTGTTGAAGGGCAAGAGCTTTATACTAGGGGTGAGGGGGGCAGCTGGGAGAGGAAGTTCCTGTGTCCTGGGGTTTCCCTACTCAGGTGGGGAAAATGAAAGCTAGAGCAGCAGGGTCTTTGCCAGGACAGCTGCCTTGGGGAATGAGTGAGGGGCTTGAGTCTGGGCTGGGCAGGGGGTTGCTCAGGCAAGAGGGGGCTAGCTTTAGAGGCGGGCGGGTGGGCGGGCAGGCAGCAGGAGAAGCCTGGGAGTGAGTGGAGGAACTGCTCTGGAAATCCCCTCGGCTAGGGCCTGCTCTCTGGGTCACATTCCTGCAGCCACCTCCCTCTCCCTCTCTCCCCTCCTCCCACTTCCTCTTCCCACTTCCATACCTCTCACAGCCCAGACACCTCAGCGGGAGGAAAGTGCCCTCTTTCTCTCTGGCGAACCCCTGGGGAGTCCTGACAACCCTTCCCAATCTGGACTAGTACACCTGTCTTTTATAGAGATGGTAATGGTGGGCCTGAAAGACTAAGAAAGGGAGCCAAGGTCAGATGTTCCCACCTCCTGGATCAAAGGTCAGCCTAACATATCCTACATGGACACACCACCACCACCACCACCACCCCGCCCCCGATATTTTCAGGTTCTGGGCCTGAAGGCTAGTGATCCAGGCAGAGTGCAAAAAGGCCTGGAGTCACTCCTTTTGCACCCACCAACTCTGCCCAAAGCCATGCAGAATTAGGACCTTTGCACTTGGCACCACCCCGGCTTCCTCCATCCTTATTTATTCATCCTAGTCACCCTGATTTGGGACCCCAGCCTCTCTGCTCTGTTTCTCATCCAAAATCTCAGCCCCCTCTCCCCTGTCAGTGTTATCTTCTATCTGAGGGGTAGGTCCTCAGCTGGCCAGCTCCTCTCACACTTCTACTTCTCATCTCAATTGCCCCCTGGCCCAGTCCCCATCAAGCTCCAACTAGGCCAGGGATGGGGAGTTGTTAAAGTAAAGTGAGAGGGTCAGAGGGTCAGGCAGGATAGTGAGAGGGTCTGGGGGACTCAGGAGGGGGCCGGTATGGGGGAGGCCAATTCCAGCCCCCACTTCCTCTTTCTCTGCAGAGGAGGAAGTAGGCTAGGGCAGCCAGCCGCCTGTCTGCCTGCTGGGGCAAGGGTGCTTCGGCCCTGGCTCACCTACTCCTGCTCAGGGCCAGCCCTAGCTCTGTACCCCGGCACCCCCTACTTTGCTTCCCAGACCCACTGACAACCTGTAACTGGAAACTCTGGTTCCTTGAGACAGGGCATTCTGAGGTCAGAAGCTGGGAATCCCAGATATTGAGTAAACAAGGATGCCCCTTCCCCCAAGTGTGTGTGTGGGGAACTGGACTGGTCAGGGGAATTTTCTCTTCCTAGGAGTGTGTTATTGGTAGGTTTCCAAGATGCTGGCTGGGGCTCGAGGCATCTGGAGAGGGCCCTGCCAGCTCTGCCTACCTCCAAAAGGGAGGGCAGAGAGAGGATGCCAAGTCCTATGGCCTGGTTAGAGCTCAAAAGTTGGCTGAGAGTTTGGAGTTAAGTTTGGCGTTTCGAAGAGAGTGGGGACTGCCCCTTCACGGGCGGGTGCCTTGAAGGATCTTCGTAATGGGGAGTCCAGCCTGTTGCGGCTTCAGGGGAGGCTCAGAATTAGAACTGGGAGGAAGGGGTCCTGTCTCAGCCTTGCCCCCAAACTCACGTGTCTCCTTCTTCAGATATGTACGTGAGTGCTTCCAGCTGCTGAGGGCTCAGTGTCCCCGCGGAGAGAAGCGGCGAGCCTGGGGCAGGGTCTTCGGCCTCGGAGCTCCCCAGCAAGGGCAGGGGTCCAGTGAGCGAAGAGGAGCCATAGGTGGAGTCAGCCCGCTCCCCATCCGCGTCCTCCTTCTCCTGTGGCTCCTGGGCGCTTCCCTGGGGGTGGGTCCAGGGCTGGGGGCCGCCGCCGTCGGAGGGCCCGGAAGCGGGGGTCGGGGTGGGCTCGGGCAGGGAGCGCAGAGAGCGCAGAGACTCGATACCCGAGTCGTACCGGCTCTCATCCGCCTCGTCCGGCCCTTTCCGCGCCTCCGACATGCCCGCGGCGCCAGCCCGCGGGGGTTGGGTTCGAGCAGGATCTGGCTCCCGGCTCCGCTGCGCTGCCTTTCCGGGTTGTGAGGCCGCCACGCAAAGCCAGTGCTCGGCCCAGACAGGCCTCCTTCCTAGGATGCGGGTGTCCGAGGGGTTGACCAGAAGTGCAGACGAGGGTCAGCGCTAAAGTGGGCCAACCGCAGCGGCTACTGAGCACCGCAGCGGTGAAGCCCAGTCTGGTCCTCTCGCCCCGCCCCTCAGCCTACGGGGTGACCGCGCGCCGGGCGGCCCCGCCCCCGGTCCCGCCCCAGACAGCGCTTCCGGACAGAGGCCCCGCCCCTCCGGAATCCCCCTCACTCCTCCCTCTGCGTTGGTTCCGAGTCCGGGTTTACCCGTTCCTGACTCACTCGTTAGTCCAGTCATCCATCCATCCACCCATCCATCCATCCCTTCATTCATTCTTTTTCTCTTCCTTCTTAATTTCATTCATTAATTCCATGTTGGCTTTTAAATAAATATATACTAAGCATAAGCATGAGCTGGGCATCTTGTGGGGAGAACAGATGAGTGAAAGGATGGGGAATCATTGCTTCCGATCCCCTCCTCATTTCTCTTGCCTTTTCCTCTTTCCCTGTCAGTGCCCAGGAATTTGGGTGAAGAAAGAGGACACCTACTATCTTTAAAGTGGGTCCTGTTGGGTCCTGGATAGATGGTCTCCAGTGTCAACTTCCATATTACATAGAATTGGCCATGAGGATTTGTTTTTGTAAAATGAGTTTCTCTGGCAGGCTGGTGTCTAAAGATCTGAGTGGCCCTGGGGTTTCTTCTTCCTCACAGGAGTGAAACACTGGCCTCTGTGGTTGCAGCATCTGGTTACCCCTAGTGGTCAGGGAAGTTTAGTTCCTCACCATGGGGCCAGCAGGGGGAGGCCCCAGACATGCTGAGCTACACTGCTGAGATCCCTGACAAGGACCTAGCTCCAGCCCATTTTTCTTCCTTCTCCATCCCTGCTTTCCCTGGGCCCAGGGAAGCCTTAGGAGAACCCCAGCCACATGGTGAGCCTCAGATGAGTACCCTGATTTGCCTTTTCCTTGTTTCTCCTCCCCTAAGTGCCAGTGGCCTGAGGTCCAGCAATGCCCTTGGCACTGTCAAGGGGACATCTCTTTTCCCACCTCTGACATTGGGGGAGGGGAAGGGGGTGAGTGTAGATGGCTACTAACCTGCCCTTCCCCCACATAACCTTGGTTTATTCATCCATCCATTCATCCTTTTGACAAACACGCATAGGGCTTTTCCTATATGTCTCACATTGTTCCCTCTGCTGGAGGCAAAAATGAATATCACACTAACATTAATAATCAACAACCACTGTGACCAAACAAAAGATCCCATGGTCCCAGCCCTCAAAAATTCCCTGGCTTGGTGTTATGTTTTGCTGTGTATATTCTCAACAACAGCAACAAAATAAAATTTCAAAAACAACAAAACAACTCCCTGGCAAATACAACACAGAGTGGTTGTGCTAAGACAGAAATAAGAACAGAGTTGGGGCACACAGTGGAGTCACCTACCCTTTGGGGTAAGGGGCAGAGGAGGTTCCACTCCTACTGGGAACAGGAAGGGAGGAGGGCGGGGAGAAAAGAAGGACCCAGTTTCTGAGGGGTGACTAGAAAGCAGAGAGGGCTGCAGAAAGGAGATGGCCCACTGTTCTCCATCCCCTCAAAGGAGCAGAGGATGTGTTGAACATGAAGCACTAAGAAGCCAGGAGGGAGAATTTCCAATGGGAAAGCCCGAGGAAATGGAAGCATGCCCTCCCCTTGGGGTAAGTGTGATTTCAGATGTTCTCCTCTCCTGACATATTCTCCCATCTTCAAAAGAATATTTTGCTTCAGCAAAATATATTAATAAACTCTGGACCTAGACTGCCTGAGTTCAAAATCTGATATTATCATTCCATTTTACAGTTGGGAAGCTGAAGCCCAGAGAAGCAAATTAACTTGTCGTCCAAAGTCAAACAGTCAGCAACTACAGAGCACAGTGTGCTTGTCCTTAATCCAAAGCTTAAATTTTTTTTTTTCCAATGAAATCTTTCTTTTATCGAGACTGAAACTACATGGGTGAGGGTATCATAAGGACATAAACACTCAGGAATGTACAGTGACTGCCTCTGTCATTTGCCCAGAGGTTGCATTTGAGGAAAAAGCATCTTTAGCCCAGTTAGATGTATTGCCCCGAGCCATGGACAGGTAATTAGGTAACTGACGTCTGAGGAAGGAGCCTTGGTAGTACAGTTAAGCACTCAGCTACTAACAGAAAGGTTCAAGCTTACCAACAGTTCCACAGGAGAAAGATGTGACAGTCCGCTCCCGTAAAGATTACAGTCTTGGAAAAACAATGAGGCCATTCTACTCTGTCCTACATTCAGGGCTGTTGTGTGTCAGAAGTGACTCACTGGTATGGGGTTTCAGGGTTTTTTGGATATCTGAGCCAGGTGTAAAGAGCTCTAGTGGCACAGTGGTTAAGGCATTTGCCTGATAGCCAAAAAGTCGGTGATTCAAACTCTGTAGTCCACTTCTGTAAAGATATACTGCCTTGGAAACTCTATGGGACAGTTCTGCTCTATGTTGTTGTTGTTGTTGTTATGTGCCGTCGAGTCACTATGAGGTGGAATCCTCTCAATGGCAGTGAGTTTGGCTTGGTTTTTGAGCTAGGTGTGTGGCAGCCTCTTTACTGGCCACATGAGGTCAGCATTGAGTCAGCCACTGCCCCCAGCGCTGGCGCCAAACTCTGACAGGAAGCCCTCCTGGGACACTTCAGGAATTGGGAGAGGGACCATGGCAGTGTTTTCTGGAAGGATGACTTGGGGACTTTGACTCAGGTCATGGTGTGGTCAGGGCCTACTCAGTCCCAGTCCTCCAAGGGCAGGATCCTCTAGTCCTCCTCTCTCTCTCTCTGCTAGTGTTTCTGGTTCTCTTTGTCGTGGTGGCCCCTCTCCCCACTTCTGCCCACCCCAGCCAGGCTCATCTTCGGGGAAATAAGCCTGGTTTCCATGGTAACCAGCTGGTCAGCTGGCTCCTTTCACAGCCCCCTCCCTCTACTTCTGTTTTCCTTGGGCCTCCAGAGAAGGGTAGTGTGTACAATGGAGGAGGCTGTGGTGGTCTTTTGTCTCTCAGGAACTCTGAGGTTGTCCAGAAGGAGTTGTTCTGAGCCTCTTCCCAAGTCCCCTAAAGTGGAAAAGGGATGAGAAGGCAGTGTGTGTGTGTGTGTGTGTGTGTGTGTGTGACGATTAGAATAAGTAAATGGCCAGGGTAAGGATCTTATCTGGGTTGGGCAAGGCCAGGATCAGGATCTCTGCCTCTCTGTTTACAGTGAGGAATGAACTAGGTGGAATGGGCTGACATCAGAACGGGAGGGGTTGGAGTTAGCTTTGAGGCAGGACTTCCCTAAAAGCATGGGTGATATTGGAAGGAGCCACCAAGTGGGAATATGCCTCTGTCACGGGAGTAAACACAAACCCTGGTTTCTTCAGGACCACAACCCTCTGCTGTTTGGGCCAGGCGGATGGACTTACTGACCTTGAGAGGGTCATGGAGGCTGGATATATCTGAAGCAACAGGCAGACAGAGAGCCACCTTCATCTTGCTTAGAAAAGGAAGAGTAAAAAAATGGAAGCAGGACCAGGAGTTACTAGGGAAGGCAGTACTCTTCTGCCACAAGTGAGTGGCAGGAACATTCCAGACACATCACTATACTTGCACCCTATCCCCAAAGATCAGATATACAGGCATTCCCAAAACCAAACTCACTGTCTTCTAGTCAGATCCGACTCCTTGGGGTTCTGAGCCGGTATCACTACGGAAGTAGATTGCCCAACCTTCTTTCTGAGGAGTGGCTGGTGGGTCTGAACCGCCAGCCTCCTGGTTAGCAGTCTAATGCCTTAAGCACTAGGCCACCAGAGCTCCTATACAGGCATTAATTCAAGCTAACTTCCTACCCACAACTATCCCCATGGGCTTTTGAATGGGAAAGATCTGGATTCTAAGTCTAGTTCTGTTAGGTGCTAGCAGGTGACCTTGTGTAATTACTCCCTCTGCTTTGGTTACCTGTGAGTAAATAGTGAGAAGAGTTCATATATGTCAAAGACTCTAATGCCACACAGGGCACAAAGTAGGATTCCACAGTGACTTGTGTAAACACAGATTAATCATGCATGGCCTTTATCACATTCTATCAAACTGTGGTGCAGTTAATGCACTCATCTGCTAACTGAAAGGTTGGAGGTTTGAATCCACCCAGAGGCAACTTGGAAGAAAGGCCTGGCAATCTACTTTTGATAATCAGCTGTTAAAAACTCTGTGGAGCACAGCTCTACTGTGACACACATGGGGTGGCAGTGAGCTGGAATTGATTAGAAGGCAACTTTTTTTTTTTTTTTTTAATCATAACAATTTGTTCCCATACCATCACCCCTTATTAGATTTTGCATTCCATGACAGTAGGAAATTGTGTATTTCATTTCAGAACAGAGCACAGAGTAGGTACCTAAATAACATCTGTCTGTTGAATGGGTACATCTAGGAATGAATGAATGCCAGTTTCCTTCCTGCTTATCCTAGAGGATACAGAGAAAAGCAGTGTGGGTTGGGTGGTATGTAGGGGTAGGCTACCGCAATTTCTCTGTCTGGCCTGTGGTCTGGGACTCCTGCACCCACAAAGTCAGCCTTAGAGATTGTCCAGTCAACTCCCTCACTACACAGTTGAAGAAACTAAGGCTCAGAGAAGGGAAGGTACTTGCCCAAGGTCACACAACACATTAATGGCAGAGCTGGGATTGAAAATTAGAACTTGGGCTTTCTGACTTCCAGCCTAGGGCACTGTATGTACACCCTTCACTGCTTGGGAGGCTGTTCTTCTAGGCAAGGAAGATAGTTCAGTGAAGGCCGGTTTCAGTGTTCTCACTTCTGCCCTCTGTTAGTCCTTTCTCACATCTAGCTTCAATCCTTTCCCTTTCACAGTATTCCATCTCGGTTCAGCTGGGTCTGGCCAATGAGGTCTGGCTCCTGCCTTAACCCTTTATC